GTCATCTTTAAGCTCGTTGAGTACCTTTTTGATCTGTTTTTTGTCCCTTCTTTTATCATTTCATATAATTCAGCTGTTTGGCTTTTGATTCCCTCTCCATCAATGCCCCATGGATTAACTTTGGAGGAGTTGGGGGTTTGGGGAGGCATTTTGTTTTTTTCTCATGTTTCTATTGTTATTTTCTGTTGAGGTTGAAAGTTGGTTATAGTGCACAAATGTGTTGCCAACCTGGCAATCTCTTCGGTTAGTGTCTGCTTTCCAGTGATGTGCTGTTGGTGTGGCTAACTTTAGGCCTTTGCTCTGTTCAAAGATCTGATCACCACTGTTAATTTGGGGAGGGTGCAATGTAATTGGCTCAGCACCCAGTTCTCTTGAAATGAAACGCAGTATCGTTAATGACACAAAGACAAACCAGATATCAGTATATAGAAAAATTAATTAGGGAACAACTATGTCATCCTGGAAATGGTAACAAAATTAGCAACAATAATAGAGTCAAAGACAAAATGGATATTGACATACCACAAGAGCCAATAGTAGCTACCATGGTACAACCTTTAACAGTACAGATCTGTAATTATGATATAGATACAAAATACACCAAATATTGACATACAGTAAATACTCAGTGTAACAACTATACCACCATTAACAATAGAAAAGGATTCAATAATAGTCCATTATATATCTAAAGATTAAAAAAACTTAATACTAGTAAAGATGAAGTGGATAAGGGGGAAATGAAAGAAATAAAATTCGAAAAATAAAAGGAATATTGTAAGGTGTAAAGTAAGATACAAGATTCTATTAAGTAAAATAAAATTAATAGAATTGGATAAAAGTAACAGAGAAGAAAAAGCAAGAAAAATAAGAGAACCAAATAAAGAGAAAACAAATCCTTAAATGCTCAATATTCAATGAAGAAAAAGAGATATGAATCCAAAAAATTTTCTCTGTGGTTATGAATGAGTGGCTTCTTTCCAAGGTCTACAGTATTGGGGGAGGGATAGTGTGTCACTACTAAGACCTATTTTGTTTCCACATCCATGTTTTTGTGTGAATGCTGAATCCTGCACTCTTTCCTGCAGGGTGTGGTTGGTCAGTGATGTCCGTCCTATAGCTGATTCACTCAGCCACTCCCAGTTTCCCTGTCCTGAAGTCACGGCTTTCTTTGTCCCCAAGTTTCTGTGTGCCCCAAGTCACAGCTTTCTCTGCTTAGCTTTTGGCCTGTGCATTTGTGAAGTGTCCTGCCCCTTCCAGGGTTCTCTCTGTTTTTATACCCTGACAGTGGCAGCCATCCAAGTAGAAGTACTTCCCTGTTCACATTGGCAGATGGAGAAGGCAAACAGATCACTGAATCCATTCTGGGTGTAGGCAGTAGGGCAGAGTTGGGATCAAGCAATCTGCTGTACTCCATATCTGCACTGTCAGACCCAGCCCCATCTGAAAATCGCACGACCGGCCTGGCTTCTCACCACAGAGAGTGGAATCCTCATGTCCTTCCCAGCCTGAGCTTAAACTTCTCTGGGAATCTATGTCAAGCTTGCATCCTCTCCATGACTGTCTCTTGTAGCCATCTTCCACCAAGTCACTGCGATAGGGTGACCCCAGAAACCCTGAAGTGTAGTTTTTCTGTGGCTCAACCTTAAACAGTTAACCCCTTCCCCAAATGGTTCCTGATTAAACACTCTCTAATACAATGGGAGCTACACAGGATTTCTTCTCCAATTCTAGCCTTCTATTCAGAAGTAGTCACTTTCAGAGCAAAACTCCACACCTTTTTTTTTTTTTTTTTTTGAGGCAAGCTCTCACTATGTAGTGCAGGCTGCCCTTGAACTCAGCTGGCCTTGAACTCATGGCAATCCTCCTGCCTCAGCCTCCCACCTGCTGGGGTTACAGGTGTGTGCCACCATGCCCAGCCCCCATAGTATTTTTTCAGTGTATAATAACCATGGGCTTTCCTTGGGGCTAATGCTGCTGGCTCATTGTTTCTCTCGGAGCTGCTGACCCTCTCTGGGCTTATTTTGTATTAGTGAAGACAAGTCCTCCTCCCTGGGAGCTGGGGTTAGTCATTCTGACTGCTCTGTTTTTTTCTCTGCTTTGTGCTCAGTTTCTTTACCTTTGTAGCTTCTGGTTTTCCTATCATCTCCCTCTCATTCCTAGAGATCCAGTTCTTTTTTTCTTCACTGAGTTGTTTCCAGGTATCTCAATTTCAGGTTGTAGGGAGGGTGTGTTTTGCTGCCAATCTTTCTGTTCCAGAGTTCTTGTTTATTAAGAGTGTATGTCCTTTGAGCTTGCACTTGTGAGTGGCAAGGGAAGGCAACCAGCATACGTCAGGTACTGACAGTGCCTATCATTCTGTTGGGGACTGCAAGCACGTCATCTCTTTCACTTCTTCTAATAGGCTTGTGAAGTATGAAAGATTTTTCCTCTATCTTTTCAAGTGAAAAAACTATCCCAGAAAGGTTAATTAGCCACATACCTAATGAGTAGCAGAGCTGGGACTTGCATCTGGATCTTTCTGATTCCAGTGCCTGTTATATTCCCCCACAAATATCCCATTGGAAAACCATAAGCAACATAGAGGTAATCTCTAATTTTTATATCCCCAAATAACATATATGCCTTACATATGATTATACCTGGGATCTCTCCATTCACCTTGCATCTGCAGCTTAGAATTTTTTTTTCTTAAATTCTTTTATTGGTATATTTTAGGTATGCGATACGTTTACATATATCATTGGGTGCTTGTACCTGTACATGATGTATCTTGGGTCTTATTTTTTCCCCATTACCTGTGCACCCTTCACTCCCTCCACCCTTCCCTATTTACATGGACTTCATTTCAGTTTTTTTTCTTTTTTCATAATTTTTCCTTTCCCCTTCCCCTCCCACCACCCCTACCCCTTTGGACCTTTAATTCCTATTTCAAATTATCAATTATTCGTTTTAATCATTTTAGCCCTTATTTACACTTTCAGTTTCTCACATTAGAGAAACTCTTCGGTATTTACACATGTGTGACCTATTTATTTCACTTAAGAGTATGGTCTAAATATGCATCCATTTAACTATAAATGTCTCTAGTTTCTCATTCTTTATGGATGAGTAGTATTCCACTTTATAAAAAAACCACATCTTTATCCAGTTTCTAGGTGATGGGCACTTGGGCTGTTTCCATGCAGCTTGAAATTTTTTCCTTTCACTTGACTGTAAGTTGTAGACCATTAATTCTCCTTCATTAAGATCTGTTTACATGTCCTTTTTCCATACATGTCCTACTGTTTTGCTATATGATCTCATTGCTTCATACCTGCCCTGTTGTGCTGTGTGCTCTCTGGTCTCCTGATTATTCCCTATACTTGCCATGTGTATTAGTCTGCTTTCCTGTTGCTGAGACACAATACCCAACACTCATAACTTATAGAGGAGAGGTTTAATTTGGCTCATAGTTTAAGTGGATTCATTTGGTGGTTTGCAGGCTCCAAGGCAGAAACCTCATGGTGGAAAGGTTTAGAGGAGCAAAGCTAGGTAGATGCCAAAGCAAATCAAGTTAACACTCTACCCCAAATGCCACAGTGTGTCACCTCCCGGATGATCTTGCCAAGAGCACAGCTACTAAAAGCCTTTCTACCCGTCTTGTCCTATAGAGGCTCAGCTAGTAGGTGAGGCCTTTGTGATCTGCTAGCTGCAGCTCCCACTGGCTCCCTCTGGCTGTGCAATGATCCCCCGCCAGTCTTATGGAGCTACTTGCAGGCCCTGTATAGGGCTGCTGTTTTCTTTGTCCTTGTCTTTGCAATGCTTTTTTTTTCTTACATCCTGGAGGGCATTTTTCAAAACTCATCTCAAGTATTTTTTCTCCTCTTCACCCCCTGGGGTAAACTTAATCACTTTTCATTTATTCTCACATGTTGTGCAGTATTTTTGTAATAATATTTCAACTATTTCTTTTATTTATTTACATGACTGTGGCAGTGGGGTTTAAAAAACATTTTGGAGCTAGAGGTTTTTGCGTTACCATATTCTTTTTTGGATGACTCTAAAAATCGTCCATTGTGCATGTCAAAGCATATGTTTTATGGTTGGTCGGTAAAGAGAACTGTCCTATATAAAGAATATTATAATAGATGAAATGTTCTTTGATTTAGATTTTTCCTTTTTTTTAGAACTCTTTTATTTTTGTGTGTGTTACTGGGGATCGAACTCAGGACCTTGTGCTTGTAAGGAAAGCACAGTGCCACTGAGCTAAATCCCCAGTGATTATTCCTTTTTAAAAACCTCATTTAAAGGAAAGATTAAAATCTAATTTGTCTCACAGTGCTACCAGGTGATAGATTCTTCCCCGAGAAGAAAGTTCTGCCTGTGAAAACATTCTGTGAACTGATGAAATATGCAAATAAAGTTCTTGTAGTTTTCACCTTTTAATTCCACTGTGGTTTGATTTCAGTCTGCTAATGATATCACTGCAGATTAAGACCAGCAGATTCCCTGCAGGGGATAATTGTTCTTCAGTACCCAATTTTGCACATGTGATCTCTGTTCAGTGGTGGGTATTCTGTTGTATTTAATGTGTCACATGGAAACAATACAGATACCACAGTGCGGCTGTGAGGCTGGGGGAGCCAAGCAGGAAAGATGGGAAATCATTCTGTAACGAGTACCTCTAAATGACTTTGTTTGTTTGGAGATGGGGTCTCACAGTGTTGTGAGGCTGGCCTTGAACTCCGGGGGTCAAGCAGTTCTTTCTCTGTTCAGCCTTTTGAATAGCCTGAACTATAGCTATGCATCATTGCTCCCAGCTTGCTTTTGGTATTTTTTATTTTTTCTCCACATATAGCATGCTGTACTGTGAATGTGACCCAGGAGTTTGATTTTTGTTGATTGCCAACTTGATTGATTTGATGGCAGGAAGCAGCACATCTTGTACTCACAGGATGTACTTGTTACACAACATGAGTACCCTAAACCAATCCTTTCTCTGTCCTTTCTTCATCTAGACAGATAGAATGTTGTGAAACAGCAGATGAATTCTATAGCACTATGGGGCGCCTTACCCAGGAGATGCTGGAGAATGACCTTCTACAAAGCCATGAACTCATGCAGGTGAGTGGGCAGCGTGTCCAGCCTGGGTGTGGGAGCCCAGGGTACTGTGGGAATAAATGGTGCTGGGCAGTGGTCATGGGAAATGTGTTCAGCCAGCTCTCAAACTTAGTTTTTCAGTTGACTAGAGTCAATGTATAGTTTGGTAAGAATCTGTGTCACAAGAAGAGAGAAGAGACCAAGCATGGTGGCCCATGCCTGTAATCTCAACACTCAGGAGGCTGAGGCAGAAGGATCGCTATGAGTTCGAGGCCAGCCTGAGCTACATAGTGAGTTCAAGGCCAGCCTGGAATACATAGTGAAACCCTATCTCAGAAAAAACAAAACACCTAAAACCCAAAACAAACCAAACAACACCCCCCCCCCATTATGAGATAGAAGAAATGAATATTGGCTGTTTGTTGGGGTCCTCTTTCAAATCATGTTGCTTAAAAATCATTGAGCCCAAGATAAAAATAGATTGCAAAAGAAAAGATAAAACCACTCGATGTTTATTCTGAAACTGATTCTTCCTGCCCTTAAAGAGAGGGTTATGGGGTAAAAAAATTATTTTGGGGAAGAAATTATTGAGGATGAAAGAGATTATTTTAATCAGCCTTTTGGGTTTATTACCAACTCAGGTTACTAAAAATTAATCATAGGTTTCAGTTTGGAACACTTGAAGGATTTAGTTATTTTGTGGGATGTAACTGCAGTTCAAGATCATGTTCAACAAGTCACTGAAATTGACAGCAGGCATCAAAAAAGATAGCTGATCTTTGAGTGTTCTCTCTTCCATTAGATTCTGAAACATAGTTTTGCCCTTGTTCTCCTTCAGCACTTTTGACCACTTCTCTTCCTGCCTCTTCCTCTTGCCACTGACCATCTGTGTGATCTCTCTGAAGTTGTCCTTGGCCTTTCTTTCTTCCTTTGATACGTTCTCCTTTTTCTTGGTTTCAACTTTCACCTTTATGCTGGATTCCATGCTTGGGGTCACTTTTGAGTGCTATAGTCCAGTCAAACAAACTAGAAAACTAAGGTTCAGGTACTGATTTAGAGCTTGAAAGAGGGTGATCTTCATCCTTCACTTACTTCTTGGTACTCCCAGCTCCTTCTCAGAATCTGTTGCTGCTGGGGATGGTGGTGCACATCTGTAATCCCAACACTTGGGAGGCTGAGGCAGGAGGATTGCTGTGAGTTAGAGGCCGGCCTGGGCTGCATAGTGAGTTCAAGACCAGGCTGAACTACATAGTGAGACCCAGGCGCTCGCGCTCTCTCTCTCTCTCTCTCTCTCTCTCTCTCTCTCTCTCACACACACACACACACACACACACACACACACAAGAATCTGTTTCTCTTAGCAAATAGCTAACTGATTTATCAAGAACACTCATTGCCTACCATAACTTTCCTGAGCTTTCATATTTCCATGTTTCTTTGCATTGTCATCTCTTCATTCCTTCTTGTCTGTCTCAAAGGAGGAAGTTTTCTACCTGACCCTGAATTTGTGCTTGGATTCTAGCTCTTCTCATAGTTCCTGGGCCATTGCTTCTATGTTCATACTCTCTTGGAGGGAGATGCCTTATGTTGAGCATCATTCCATGTCCTACATCTTTGCCTGGCATTTTCCATGTATCCTGCAGAACTGCCAGAATCATATGCCTAGAGAAGGACTCTGAGAGAACAATCCTTCTCTCTCCTAGGTGAAAGTCCCATGGCTTCTCCCTATCTACAAAACAGCATAGATTTCTCAGCTAACTATCCAGTGCTTCTTACTATTTGGTGTTGATCTACATTTTCAGCCAAAGCTCTTGTTCCTCCTTCCATACCTTTATCCTAGTCTTATCAAGCTAAACTGTCTTCCATGCTTGAAGAAATACCTGGAAGCACATTTTGCCTATACCTGTGCTTTCTCAGTGATCTTTGCTCTTCTGCTTTCACATACCTTCTTTTGGAAAGTTTCAATTCAGATACTGGCTCCTTCATGAAACTTCTCTCACGATCTTAACTTAAAAAAATCTTCCATTTCACTGAGTATTTTATTTGTCATATCTTGAATGCTTTCATCATATTCTGCCTCAAATTAGTACTGTATCTTATTCTCTCAGTGATACTGGAACTTCCTTGAGTGCAGAAGCTACTTAGCACTTTGCCTTCATGAGAGTAGCTCTATAAGTTTATTAATTCAGCAAGCAAACATTTATCGAGAGTCTCTGATTAGTTTTCTGCCTTTTCTTTTTCAATCAGTGTTTGTTGGTTTACACAAAGCTTGCAGATGACAGCCTTCCTTCCTCTTTCTTTCTCTAATACAGTCAGCATCTTGATGGGAAAGTAGTTGTCCGCACTGTTGCTTTCTTCATTTCATTGTGCTACACACTGAGGGCTTCTGTGAGTACTGTAAATAAAATGTCTCAGCTTTGTTTTCTAGGCTCCATATTAACTTCTCCAAATATTTATGGAGCATCTCTAAATGTCAGGTACTGAACCAGATTCTGAGGATACAGATGGGAAGAAGATATGGGTTCTATCTCCAGGGGGCTCATAGTTTCCTATAACGTAGAGTGGGATGTGCACTGAAAGAGAAGTGCTGGGAGCTGTGGAGGAAAGAGGGCCTGATGCCTGATAGGCAGGAAGAGTGGGAGGGGCTGGGGAGAAATTGGAAATGGTTCCCCTGAGGGAATTAATGTTCTTTTCTACCTTTAAAGATGAATAGGAGTTGGCTGGGCTCTATGTGTGTGCATGCAGGTGCCCGGGACATTTGTTGGAGGCGCTGATCCAAAGTGGACTGTCAGTGGCTGGTGGTTAAGGGAGCACCCTGAGCAAAGGCATAGCAATGGGATGCTGGGTAGTGTGTAGTTGACACCATGAGGAGTTTGGCACTCAGGCCTCGGTTAGGGAAGATTCCAGCCCATTGTAAGCAGCTTGAACTTGATCTTTAGGGCTGACATTATGAAACTGTGTTTGTTGGAGTTGTAGGGTTTCTGTGGACCCTTGGAAAGGGAAAAAGAGCTGTGAATCCAAAATATTTTTAAGAAGATGAGGAAAATGTTTTGAGTTGTGGGTATTGTTTTGTTTTGTTTGTGACAGAGTCTCACTCTATAGCCCAAGCTGGCCTTAGGCTTGCAATCCTCCTGCCTCAGTCTCCCAAGTACTGGGAATACAGGTGTGTGCCTGTGATCTGGACCCAGATTGAGCAGTGTTTTATATCAACTGTACATGGACAGCTCTGTGAAAGATGGATCTGAAAAGATTAAGTCTGACAGCAGGAAGGCCTGTGAGAAGGCAGGGAAAGGTAAAGACAAGAATGGAACAGAGGCAATATTTAGAAAATGAAATTGCTTGGGTGTGGTCTTGGAAACTGGATACAGGGATGTGGGGAAGGAATAGGGGAAATGAAGGAAACCTGTAAACTTTTGGCTTGGGAGGAAGAGTAAGTTTATTTGGGGGAGGAGGTGAGTGCATTTTCAGGACGCATCAGAGGTGTTCTTTGGCTGTCCTGTTCCTTAATCCAAAGGTATCCCTCACTGCTTCAAAACCGAAATCTGCCTGCTGGTCATCACTCTTTTCCTGCCCAGGCCTCTGTAGGCCCTAGTTCCCTCCAGTGCTGCATCAGTGGAAACCCCATGTGCCCACATGGTCTCAGCTCAGCTCCTCTCTTCACCCCCACAGCCTCCATTCTCTGCCCTCACTGATGATGCCTCCTCTTTACTAAAGATTTTCAACAGTTGATTTAATGCCAACTGTGGATGATTAGATGTCATTTTGTACTTTTCAAGTATGTTAATTTTTTTCTCTTTAGGAAGACACAAGTTTCTTGATGAAAGGGGCTTCATATTACTCTCTCTGTAGCACCCAACAGAGTGCTAAGAATATAACTGCTTGCTCAGTAACTATGCAGAATCATAGAAGATTTTATTTTGAGGCAGTGGTTTTTAAACTGGACTGTGTAAAATAAATATTTCTGGAGTATATAAAAATGTAGGTATTTGGCCCATGGATATGTCTGAGACAGGTGGCTTTTAAACCAGTTAGAGAAACTGGTTTTAAAAAGGCTTAAATATCAACTTATCTAGTTCTGTCATTTTACAGAAAGTTACCCTGCTTTAAGAAAATCCTAGAGAGAGAATTATGGGCTGTGGCATGACTGATTAGATTCCATTTTAGTAGTATTTCCAAGTCATGTCAAGGAAAACATCTGAGTGAAGATGAACTAAGCCTAACTTTGTGCAAGTTATATTTTCATATTTCTTGTAAAACGTGTCAGTAATGAAAAAAGGAAATATAATTCCTTTTCAACAGTGCCTAAATATAAATGTCTATTTAAATGTATATTGGTATTTCAAATAGTAAATAGACTTGTCAATTTTCCCTGGCATCCAGAATATCAGAAATGGTGAATGCCATTTCAAACCACTCTTTCTGAATTCATTCTTAAAAAAAAAATTCAATAACTGTGATCCAGCTATGGTGGACCATAAATCTGTCAACAAACTTGAAATTACTCCAGATGAAAAATGTGGGCTGAATATAAAGTCTGTATTTTTGAGCTGAAGAGATGAAAGGATTCTCCTCTTCTGGCTTTTCCTGATGCTCTGTCTTCTAAGTGACGTACGCAAGTTAGTATACTGGGTCCCCTCTGTAGATCATGTAACTCTTCTAATTAGCGGAGGCCAATTTTTGCTTTTAAAAAATCTGTAGTGTTAAGTAGGGAAATTGGGGAATGCTGTTAAAATAGTGTATCTGGATTTCAGCAGCACCTTTGACAACATCTTTGGTAAATTTCTTGAGGGAAATATGGAGTAAAATTAAGTTTCTATTATTAGAAGGATGGTATGTGTTTTAACAATATAGTTCCCTGTTGTCTGGAAGCAGCTGTCACATGCCTTAGGCCAGAACTGCCCTTGGACCCAACTCTTCACTTTTTCCATCAGTGATGGGTTGGAAATCTCAAGGATGTGGATGCTTGTTCAATACAAGGACAATGTTTGATTAATTAGTTCTGTCAAAAATTGAATCCATCTGCCCTGCAGAATGGTGTGTGCCCATAGCTGGAAGTGTTTAGGCAGCGCCTTTGAGGCCATCTGTTAGAGATGCACTAGAAGAAGCTCTTGCGTGGGAGAGAGGTTGAGCTAAATTATGTTTAAATTCCTTTAGAACCCTAAGATTCTATTACTGTACCATTTTGGCTCTAAGAGCTTAGTAAAATTTATTTCTTGAAATCTGTTGTAAATCTCTAATTTGTAAGTTAGAAGCCTAGAGGTTTTTATGTACTCAGAGTGCTGTCATGGTGAGCCAGAGATACTTAAGGGACATAGGACAAATACGCCTTCAGACATGTGAGATCTTGAATAAGTGAGCAAATATAAGCAAAGAAGAACTATAAACAAGTTTGCTTCAGACACACTGATTGCTTCTTTGAAGGACTAAACATAAGTAAACAATAGAAGAAGGAACCTGAAATAGAAAATAGAAGCCTTCTCTCTGTCCCCCTCCCTTTTCTTTTCTTTTCTTTTTTCTTTTTTCTTTTCTTATTAGGGGTCTTCAGTCAAGAGTGCTCAGAGCCCAGACCAGATGGTGTAAAATGGAGAGGCAGGAGGTGCTTCCCATTCTTCCATTACAAAACTGGACAAAGAAATTTTCTAATGCCTTGTTACAAAACTAGCAAAAGTAAAACACAGGTGAATCTTCTGCTAGACACCCCATTTTTTGTCTTCAGTGATACATCTTACTCATAAGGAATTTAAAAATCCCTAGCATTAGTAGTCTCATATTTTTTTGTTCTTTCATTTTAAAAGGTTGATCCAAATCATATGGCTTTCTTAAATGTCTGAACCAAGTTATTGAACTGTTAAGAAAAAAGAAATCACATGAGTGAGGGCATGGGTTTGTCCAACTGAGGGATCACATTTGGTGTATGATGGTCAATCCATTCGAGCCCATGCTGCTGTGCCTGAGTTCCAAAACTGAGCTTTGTTTCTAAAGTTAGGATTTTACATCTCTTCCCTCCCCTCAAAAGGGTGTGGTGGAACTAAGACATGGTCATAGGAAGGAGGGAAGAAATCTGCAGTGGCAGCGAGGCAGCTGTTGGATACCTTTGCAAGATCAGAGCATGAGAGTATACTCTAACATTATTAATAAAATTATATGAAGTATTTCACTCACACAGAATGTATTAAGAATAGCATAACAAAACCCACATAATCACCACCAAGCTAAAGAAATAAAATATTAGCAACATGGGTGAACATGCTCCTACTCTTCTTCCTGATCTTACCGATATCTCTCTTTTCAGAAGTAGCTATGACCTCTGAGTTTCATGCTTTTCATTTTTTAGACGAGGAAAAGGAAGCTAGGAAGATTGAAAATTGATGTAATCTCACATTTCAGGCTTATGAAAGCCACAAGATACCTTCTGTTTCTTTTTGGGGGTTAGAGACACACTTTACTGTTAGTAAATTTGTACTGCTTTTGGATATACTCAAGTATGTAGCGTATGTGATAAGACAGTTTAGAGGTGACTTCTGTGGTCCCTGTAAACTAGCTTTGCTTCAATAAGCATGAAGAATTGAAGGAATTTTAGCCAATACTTGTTTGGAATTTTGCAGTGGTATTATAAAGTATAAGTGGATGCCATGAAGTTTGGGGACAGTCAGATAAATGTTCAGGGTGTTAAAAATTGGAATGGATTGTCACAGTGGTGGCATTGACCTACAAAGTGATTGAAGTCCCTTCAGAGCCCTCCTGTTCCTATCCCTGCACGTATTAGATGTCTTAAACCTTCAGAGAAACAGTCCTGCTAATACTGTTTAAAAATATTTTCCTAGAAAAGTGTTAGGATATTTTATTGGCTTCATAGACAAAATGAAAGTGTGATTAATATGCATTTCTAGTCAGTAAGAAACTGAAGGATTGTAGAAATTTGTTTGGAGCTATTAAATTTTTATAAACACAGAAGAGCAAACAAGATTATTCTTGCTGATGAAATGATACATAGTTTTGAAATGCTGGTGTTAAGTGCAGATGCTTTTTCCTGTTTTTAATTACAAGTTTTTTTGACAGCCTGTGTTTTACACCTTGTCGCTTTTTTCTTTTCCCTTAAAAATAAGAGCTAACAATTTTCACTCAGAATTCATTTATAGACATTGTAGAAAGGTGGTATCTGAAGAAAACTTGCAGTTGATCACAAGATCACCCATGAGATAGTTTTATTCAGAAGGCTGACATTAATGTGCATAAAAATCATTGAGACACTGGAAAGCAAGGTGTATATATGAAGGACATTTATGGACTGTTGGTTATAGAGGTGACAGGCATTGTGGGTTTCTGAGTTCATTCAGTATCAAATGACTGGAGGGAGCCAGACTGTTCCGTTTGCTCACCCATGTTCACCAGTTGGAATGCCCAGCCAACTGGGCATTGATTTGAGGACTCATTGTTATGTTTGTCAATACAGATTTGGTATCCCTTATCTGAAGAGCTTGGACCACAAGTGATTCAGAGTTTGGATTTTAGGATATTTACTTGCATGTAATGAGACATCTTGGGAATGGAACCCAGGTCTAAAAACGAAATTTATTTATGTTTCATGTACACCTTATATACAAATAGCCTGATGATAACTTTAAAGTCTTTCTAGTGCACCTGAGTTTTGTTTGTGTTCTGATCTGTGAGGTTAGGTGTGAAATTTTCTATTTTTGGCATCATGTTGGTATGCAAAATGTTTTGGATTTTGAAGCATTTTGGGTTTTGTTTTAGGGATGCTCAATCTACAATGTTCTTTTGTCTTTAAAATGTATATTAGGATAGAATCTCTTACTTGCTGTGTATCTGTCTCTTCACCCTCAACATTATGAAACTTTATCTTTTTGGGGTGGGTAAGAGTGGTTTAGGGCCTCCTTTTAAGACAACGTTTTTGCTTTTATTTTTCAGACTGTGTATGCTATGGCGCCATTCCCTTTTCCACAATTGGCAGAGTTGAGGGAAAAGTACACCTACAACATTACACCATTTCCAGCCACTGTGAAACCCACTTCAGTTTCTGGGTAAGGATTTCTTTTTCCTTGTTGTTTCATGATGGAAGTCTTAGTACCTTGATTATCATTTTTGTAAATTAGTACTTATTAAGCCCTAGAAATATGTGCAAAGTAATTTGGTTCTTAAGAGCTGAATAACTTTTCCAAAGGTTTTGTTTTAAACTCAAGAGAGATTTTAATAAAACAAAATCCTAAAACGAAATCCAAAATGCTTTCCAAAGAAGTTTGGAACATAGTCTGAAGGAATGTTTAGCAAGCCCACAAAATATTTAAAATCTCAATAATTAAAATTATGTGGAACTGGTGTACAAATGGACAGATGAGCTGATTTAAAATACTGTAAAGACCAGAAATTGACAAATATATATACAATTTAGTATATGAAAAATTAGTACATTAAATCAATGGTGAAAAAGTATACAGTTTAGGAAATAGCACTAGGCCAATGAGAATTAATCTAGAAAAAAATCATTCCTCATGTTGTATATTCATATATGGATGAAAGTATTAAATGGAAAATATGAAACAATTAGTGGAAGAAAATATGGAAAAATTCCTCTAGTTCTTTGAAATTGAGGAGCCTTAGTAAATTATTCAAAATAAAAATAAAGGAAAAACATTAAATTTAAGTACTTAAAAATTGTTTTCTACCTGGCCAAAGCCAAAACAGATCCAAACAAAATATCTATAAACAGACTAAAATATATTTGTTGGAAAAGTATTTTTAACTTCTACACAAAATAGAAACTGATATTTCTAATATATAAAATTCCTAGAAAACAATAAGAAAATAGCTACCCAATAGAAAAATGATGAAAAAATGGATTGAGCAGTTTATAAAAAGTGCAGTATCATCAGTCCTGAAAAGCAGCCTAAAACTACCTATTTTTTACCTCTTGGCAAAAATTCAAAAGCTTGATAATGCTCTCTGTTCATAAGGATATAGGAAATAGATAACTCCTGTACATTGCTTGTGGGAGGTTAATTGCTAAAGGATTAGGGACAATCTGTCAGTATATACCAAAATTACTAATGCATATATCCTTTGTCTCAGCAATTCTATCTTTATGACTTATCCCACACATTTATTTTTACACATTCAAAACACAGTATATATTAAGGTTATTTATTGTAGTGTTGTTTACAATAGTATAGTATTGGAAACTAAGTAGGGACCATTAACAGCTGGGTTCCATAACATGGGCTATGTAAATATCAATACAGCTATAGGAATGGGTAAGAAACCTCTATGTGAATGTAGAAAGATTAAAAGCAAAATGTAAAAGTTTATATGGTATGTTAATATTAATTCAAACCAAGGAGAAAAATTTATATAGATATATCTGCTTATCTGTGCATAAATAAGTTGAAGAATACCCAAGAAATTGGTAATAAATGTCACCTATTGGTGTTTTTTTGTTTTTTTTTTTTTGGTACTGGGGATCTAACTCAGGACCTTGCACTTGCAAGGCAGGCATGGTGCCACTGAGCTAAATCCCCAGCCTACTTATTGGAATTAGGTAGGGCAAGAACTAGGAAGAATTTGGCAAGAATGGAAGACTTTTAATAAATCCTATAATTATGTAAATATGACATTTAAACCCATGTGATTATATTACTTATTTTTTTAAAATACCACTATTTTCTTTCACTATTTATTTTTCTTTTATGTTTTCCTAGACGACACGGTAAGGTTGGAGATAGTGATGAGGAGAATGACCCAGATGATGAAGATGCCATTGCTAATACAGTGGGGTGTCTTGGACCTTTCAGTGGGCTCCTGGTGCCTGAACTTCAGAAGTACCAAAAGCAGATTAAAGGTAAATTGGTGGCTGTTGATTTAGATTGTCACCATGTGTTACTTCATCATAACAAGGATATTATTACTGTATCCTTGCAATTATGTACTCCAGGATGACACCATCACTTTCTCCACATTTGATTGTAAGTCTTTAAAGTAGCAGTTCCCCCTTTTATTTTCTTCTCTGGAGAGAAGTGATTTTAGTAACAAATGAAGTAAATGTATGAGATGTTCAGCTTTTATCTGAACAGCAGATATCAGCAGAGGTTAGAATAGTTGAAATCTCTTAATCTTTTAGCTAGTTCCGTGTCAGATTTCCATGTTGTACTGGAGAAGCCTGGTTTCCTGCCTCTCTGTTCTGTGCAGTTTGTGAATATATGCTCCTTGCAGTAATCATTCCTCTTTCTTGGATGTAACCTTAATTTTATTTAATGGATGAATCTAGTCATTGTTGGTGTCCAGGAACAGAAACTCTATGAGATGTAACACTCCTAGGAAGCAGCTGGGAAATGTTTGTTAAATGACTAAAAACATTCATTTCTAGTAACACAGTGGTCTGAAATTTTGATCCATTTATAAAATGTGTCAGTATTTTTAACTTAAGGAAAGTATACTTTTAATGACTGTATAAACTCTGCAAACTGCCAGTCTTTTATAAATCTGCATGCAGTTGTATGAGTATCTGCACAATGATTTTAGACATGTGGTGTTGTGTTTTTCTAAGGGAATTTCGGAAATGGCAATGATTTTTATCTAGGAACAGTTGATCTTATGTTTATATAATAAACATAGAAGTAACAAAATCAGCCAGTAAAGCTCAGTTGAGACACACAGACTAATATGAAAATATAGAAGCTAATCAAAACAAGGACTAGACAAATTCTAGGGGACATTTTTGTGGTTTTGAATTTCCTGGAGGTTAAGATATTACACTGGGTTATAGTGTGATTAATTCCTATTTGATCCTATTACTGTCTTCTGAGCTGCTCTTTTTGTTTCTTCCCTGAGTGCAGAGGCCAGTGAAGACCAGAGTCTGAGGTCCAACAACATTGCAGAGTTGAGTCCAGGAGCCATCAATTCCTATCGAAGTGAATACCACGCGGCATTCAACAGCATGATGATGGAACGCATGACCACAGACATCAATGCCTTGAAGCGGCAGTACTCTCGAATTAAAAAGAAGCAGCAGCAGCAGGTCCATCAGGTGTACATCAGGGCAGGTAATGGGATTCTTTTTGTGAATCAATTTCATCCTGATGAAACTTGTACAGTGAAGACCTCAGGATTACTAAGTGCAGCTTGGTATCCATAGGCTCAGCTGGCATGAGATAGTAGCATGTTTAGCATCTCATTTTTTATTTTATTAGGCTTTAAAGAAGAAAAAAACCATGGGTTCCTTATAGGGCCCAAGGACCAATCAACCAATGGTATTAACCACATCTTTATTTTGTGTGCTTATGGAGATGGGTTGACAAATGATATACAGTGTTGCAAATCCATGCAATCCTTGGACTTGAGAAATTTTTTTATGCATTTGATTGTGGAATATATCTGTGGACTAGTACATTAAGCTATATACTAGTCACTTAGTAATATAACAGATGTTGTGAGCAGGGAAAATGGGCAAAAAACATTAAAAAGCCTGTGTTCACTGATGAGTAAGCAGTATCTTAGGAGTGTACTAAGAACACAATTAGAGTGCAGTTGGAATGCTCTTTTCCAAGGATTGGCAAGCTTAATTTTTCTTTTAATTTGGAAAAATCTCTGAAGAAATTACTTTATTGTTTAATATATGCTGATTTGGGAGTGATTATTCTTATTTTAACTGAATATCCTCATGAAAATTGTGCTTGTCCAGAGTTAACCAAGATGTAAATTTGACATGTTTTTAAGTGGCTTGTGAGCATGTGACTGATCTTGCATAAAACGTGAATTTACCGCCACTTATCAGGAGGAATAGGCAACTCTTGAAGGTTCTTATTTTATTCTGAATTATTAAAAAAGCAATCACAGATCAAAATATATATGCATATATGAAAATATCACATTGAAACCCAAACTTTTATAAAATTAATATGTACTAATAATAATGTATTTTAAAAGGAAAGCAGTCACAAACTGAGCAGTAAGTGGAAGCACTTTAATTTTCAAAGCCCTGGCATTTTCATTTCCTTATTTTATCCTTAAATCATCAGGACTATAATACGATCCATAGTGCTTTCCAGGAGAACAAAGCTTTTGGTGATTTCTAGTTGTCAGCTGGCTTCCAAAATCCATTGAGAACACATAGGTTGTTTTCCATGTTTAGGACCAGGACTAAGCAGTTGATTCTGCTGGGATTCTCAGGATCCTCTGTCTCTTTTATCTCTCACTTCATTACATATCTGTGGTGTGTTCTTGACTTACCTTTTAGGAGCTGACAGCTGATAATCCATAGGGTCATAGTGCTTGTCATCTTAATTTTTAAAAATTTCAAAGAATTTTCTGCATATAAGACCTCTGAGGTTGCTCTCTATGAAAAACAAAGGCTCGCTATAAAAAACATTAGGAAGAGTAGGCACTCATTAATAATGAGGTGGTCAGAGTCCCTGTTCCCTTTTAATTCCCATCCTGCAGTCTCCTCTTTGAAGAGAGAGGACTTGGTTCCCCTGGTGCTAGGGTTAAATTCACTTCTTCTGTCCTCAGTCACATGGCCCTGCCATTACCTACGTGTGGTACATGGGGAGAAATATAGGACGGGATGGGGATCTTCATGTGATTCCTGTTCAGAGTGGATGTGTTTTTCTGTCGGATGTTTCACACAACCTTTCAACATTTCTTTCAGACAAAGGGCCAGTGACCAGCATTCTCCCATCTCAGGTAAACAATTCTCCAGTTATAAATCACCTTCTTTTAGGGAAGAAGATGAAGATGACGAGCAGAGCTGCCAAAAACGCAGTCATCCACATACCTGGCCATGCAGGAGGCAAAGCATCTCCTGTCCACTATGAAGACCTTAAAACAAAGCTCAACTCTCCATGGCGAACTCACATCCGAGTTCACAAAAAGAACCTGCCAAGGACCAAGAGCCATCTGGGCTGTGGTGACACCATAGGGCTGATAGAGGAGCAAAATGAGGGCTGTAAGACCAACAGCCTGGGGACAGGGGAGGACTTCTCCAGTTGTTCAGTCGCTACAGCTGAAACAGAAGGCAGCAACTCTGAAGGTGGCACCATGAGGACAATTGAAGGCCAGTCCCCAGAGCCAGTGTTTGGGGATGCTGATGTTGATGCGTCTACAGTTCAGGTGAAGTTAGAAGCCTTGGAACTGAACCAAGGGGATGCTCCTGCTGAAACTGAACCCAAGGCACACCTGCTGTGCCAGCAGAATGTGCCAGAGCCACACAGTGCCCTTGGAGAAAATAAAGCTACCAGCAAACCTCCCCAGGGCAGCCACTCAAAAACACCCATCTTTAGTCCATTTCCTAGTGTCAAACCACTTCGGAAATCAGTCACCGCCAGGAATTTGGGATTATATGGTCCTACAGAAAGAACCCCAACCGTGCACTTTCCTCAGATGAGCAGGAGCTTCAACAAATCCAGCAGTGGGAACAGTGGCACTAAGAAACGATGATGTCTCCGATCAACTTTGTGTCTGGACTCACCTCGGCATAATGACACGGGAGTTCCAGTGACACCCTCCCAGTTTTATTTGTCTAATGAAAATGAATAGCAGTTCAGAGATAAGCAACAGAAGCCCTTTGCAATGGGAATTGGAAGTTTTATATTGGGAGCTAGAATAGGGATGTTTTCACATCCACCTGATAAAATGGATTCTTGGATTCTTTTTTTTTTCCCCAGGAAAAATAAATATTGTGGTTTTCAAGTGTGGGGTTTTCCCAATTTTTCCTTGTGAACTATTTAGAAAAGACTATCTAGACTGTCATGTCTTCTGTCCTGTTCTGAGCGCCTTTCAGAGTCCCTGTAACACCTCCCAAATCTTCAAGTTCTCTGGGTGTTACTACTACTTAGCATGCATACACCAGCTTGTTAGAACAGAAACTGTAAAAAGAAAGTAAGTTTTAGGTGCAAAAAATTCCTGATTTTACTCTTCCTGCCCTGTTGGTTGGGGGATTGTTTGTGTGTGTGAATTCTCTCTCAGTACCTATCACCAAATTGATTTTTATTCCTATGCTAAAATGTAGGCGAAAAATTAAGATGGTTTTTTAAAAAAACTTTCTATTTCTACCTGTGAAATGAAGAAGACCTTTCAACTGTTGAAATTTAGGTTAATAACCAAATTGAAGATCATACGCAGAGAGCATAAATGGGATATGTGTTAAATATTTGCCCTGGACTGCTTGCTAATTCCACTAAGCTTTTCTCGGAGTTCGTTTTCTTCTCTCAAGGGGAACATTGGTTCTCAGTGGTACAGATGACTTGATGGCTCTGCATAGAGCTTGTCTTCTGTCCTCAACCACGCAGCTCATTTACCCACTGCTTTCTATGGCAGATGCACCAGACTCTGCTCAAAAGCCAGAACATGGCACCTGTGCCTCTGCTACTTGAATTTTGAGCTTTTTTGATTGGATTACTTTGTTACTTGAACACTGCCTTTTTCTGGAGAAGGCCCTGTGCTTTCTAGCTCTCTCTCACCCACTCTATTCCTGCCCTGGTCCCAGTGGGTCAGAGATAGCACCTCTTGTCTCCACTATGCAGTTGGGAATTCTGAGCCACACAGAGGTGAAGTAGCACTTGAATCACTCAAGGTAAATACTCCTGGTATTCCATGTGATTTAGCCAAATTTCCTCCAGTGCAATAGCCGAGTTTATTGCTCTTTGTACACAGATGCATTGGCTACAGAGTTTGTACAAACCAAGACTGGGAAGCCATTCACCACAATCCCCCTCCCCTCCCAGTTTCAAAAGACCTTTCTCCATATGGTACAGAATCCTACGACAGCATTTCACAAAACCAGCTTTGACCTCCTTATTCTGCAAAGGTAGTTCACTTTAAAATTGCTTCATGCACTTGTCATTTGGCAGAACAAAAGGCTCACTCTTCAATCCTCTTCTTCCCACCATCATTGGAATAGATTCACATCCTTATCATCATCGCTGGGAGACCTTGGCAATGCTCACAGCAATATTGTCAGTGCAGTCAATATTAATTTGAACTAGCTAATTTTTAAATTTTGAAGCCAAAGCTATAGTTTTAGAAGGGACTTTTACTATGAGAGACAGCCATTTTTAAAATAATAAAATAGAATGTGGTTGTGTGGGCTTTTTTGAACAGAAAACATGAGAATGACATATATAGTGAGAAAAGCTTATCCTCTTGGTGGTAGTTTTACCCCCAGAGGAACTGAACGGGAAAAGTATGACTGATAAATCATTGCAGTTTTGGCCTCGAGTTCTGCACTGTCTGAAGTTAGCATGCAGCTTCTCAATGAGCAGCTACATCCACAGCCTGCTTTTGGGAAGGGTGTGGGAGGGCGAGTTGGGCTCACTTTTCATACCACCCCCACAAGATGAGGTCCACTGAATTTCTCAAGGCTAAGAAAATGACATGATTTTCTTCCATCTGCTAAACTTTAAGATAAGAATGAGTCCACCTCGTAATTGCACCCCTCATCCCATCCTAAACTAGTCAGACTGATCATGTTCCCCTGGAGGGATATCTGGCTCGAATAGAGTTTTGTTCTTTCCTCCCTGGAGGCAGCTCACTGGCTCCCTGAGGAACTGAGCCTGGGAGGTGGATAATGAGATGGAGCTGTCTGCTGGCTGTCTCAGTGTTGGCACCACATCCTGCGACCTACCAGTGTTTCTTCTTGCCTGTTTCCCAGGGTAGGGCTTCCTGAGAAAGGAATGGATGAGATGGCATGTGGTTTAGAATAAGTACGGGTTGAATGATTGAACAACTGAAAAGATGATAGTCCTTTGCAGATAAAAATGACCTTGTCAGAATTTTAAAACTCCAGCTAATTCCTGTACCAGTAACACATGCATGCATTGTACCAAGTAATCTGTAAATCAATCAAATTTTGAGCCTTGCCTACTTTACAAAATAAAGACATGTGAGTAGCCTCTACCACACAGCATGTGCAAAGACCAGTATGGACCTGCTATCTTCCCTGTGTATTGGATACTGTATGCAAACACCAGAAGTACTTAACAAGTAGCAGTATATTACTAGATATGTCTGTACTCTCTTAGCACTTTTTGGAGAGTCAACTCTGCACCTCTGTCCTCTTTTAAAAGCCTCTAGATCTAAGCCTAGTTTGTAATGTTGACCAATGGGGTGTAACTGTTTGGAACATTGCATTCCCTTTTTTTGGTGTGTGTGTGTCATTGTTTTGAAGAATTGTACTGATTACAAAGATATATGCATAAAGATCCTCGTTGTGGTGGTTGTGCTATTTTATATCCAAGCATGTGGATGAAGCACTATTGTGACATTCCCTTCTCCTTTTTCTTGTCACCCCCTTCCTCCCCTGCTCCCACGTGGTCACCAGAACCAAGGAACCAACCCAGGAAGCTCCCACCCATCACTGGTTTGCAGGGTGGCCTACAACCTGCCTATGCAGAATAGCTGTTCCTAAATGTGAATAAGCAGAGTATGTGTATATGTAAATTAGCGTTAAGACTTAAATGTCCTTCGTTTTGATAAAATAGAACAATAAGAAAATTTAGCTTCATGAATAGAGAGCTGTGATCAAGTGTACAGTTGCTACCATCTCACCTCATAAAACCTGTATATAGTTTCTAAACTACTTTTTTTGCTGTCTACAGAAATCAATTGAGGAAAAACATTTTTCCTAATTAGAAAAGTAACATGGTTTAGAACATTTAGAAAACACAAAGACTCATCAATATTGTGGCACAGATCTTTTCAATATGTTCTTTTGTTGTGTGTGTGTGTATTACACATGCACATATATATACTGCTATCTACAAAACGGCACAGCCATACTCATTTAAGTGATCTTTCTGCTACAGCACTGTTTTTGGAGACTGATAGTCCATTATGTGTTCTGATCAGAATTCATATAACCCGTACCTTGTTGTCAAACTAGTTTTCTGATTGAAGACAGTAGTGGAGAGTGGATCCTAATAATTGCATCTTTGTGCAGAGACTTAATTGTTTCTTAAGATATGTTCATAGAAGGGCAGTTACAGTGTCAAAAATATGTTAATTTTAAAGAAGACACATAATTCTCCAAATTACCATCCTTAAAGCTTGGCCTTACACAAGTAGAGAATGAGAACGGCAGTTTCTCTACATCTGGAAGAGACAACATTTTATTCTTTTTTTTTTTTTCTAGATCCTTGAAGTTGAAGTGTTGATAGAAGTAGGGATAATATTACTTCATATTTCATGCCTGACTTTTAAGTGAATTCTTAAGATGTTTACTGAGGTTTCTGGTATATTCCTTTAATTGGGTTAAGGAAATTGCCTTTCTTTGCTTGTTAAGAGGTCTCTTTTTCATCAACATGTGAATTTTATCAAATGAACTCTAATTGTACTTGTGAGAAGAGAGTAGCACTTGAGACTTGGTATCTTGAATTCAAGAAAATGGGCATTACTAAGTTCCATCAAAGGATATTAGTTCTTTTAGAGTTTATAGCAATAAAAATTTTAAGTGCAAAATGTCCATTAAAGTATTAAATTTCCTTGGAAACAGTATAAACATCAGAACGGGAAATGGTCAAGTGAATTAGTTTAACTACAGGATAGAAATACAATGGCTGGGCCATTGAAATGGAAGTTATTAATAACAGGAATTTGATTAAAGTCAGCAAAATCTAGAGTCAGAGCCACTAGGTTGTAGCTGTGGATGAGAAGTTCCTTCTAGATGGTGACTGGGTTCAGAACCACATGTAGTTCTTCCACACGGGCAGGTGAGAAGTTTCTTCTAGATAGTGACAGGGTACAGAAGCACATGTAGTTCTTCCACATGGGCAGCCTATCTTTTCAGCTGAGGACCACGCAAGGACTGATAGACTGTAGGTGTTGGATCAGCTTCCATGCAGCTTATTGCTGGCCGTCTCCTGATGCGGACTGTCTTAGCTCTGCTGCTGTAACCAAATACCATAAAATGACTGGTTAAACAAAGGACATTTCTTTCTCACATTTCTGGAGGCTGGGAAGTTCAAGTTGTTGACATTTTGGCATTTGGTGAGGATGCTCCCTCTTCCTGATTTGCATGAGGGGAGAGAGCTCACATATCTTTTAAAAAGGAACAGTTGATCAGGCTATCCCTTCAGTCACAATCCTTCCATTATCTTCATTTCCTGGAGGATAAAAGCTACAATCCTTAGCATGATCAGTCCCATGGGTAATTTCCCAGCTTATTTCCCCACCATCTTCCCCATGATTGCATTCTGTGTTCTATTATCATTGGAACTATGACATCAAATGTTTGCTGAGCTTCTCTGTGCTAGGCGCTGGCCAGCTCCTTTATGTATGCTGCCACACTCATTTCCCCAAAAGCCCCATGTTGCTGCATGAGAAATGATGAAAGTGAGTTGAGCACTTAGGTCCTTGACCACTGTCACCTAGCTGGTAACTAGCTGAGTCTGGACCTGTCTGATATCAGACCCTGAGCTCTTCACTTATAAATTGATGTTTTACCTTGGCATAACTACAAGATACCTGAGATAACCAACTTAAAAAGTTTTATTTGGCTCATTTAAAAGATTTGAGTTCATAATTAGTTGGATGTATTGCTTTTGGGCCTGTAGCGAGGCAGCACATCATTGCAAGGATTGTATGGTAGAGCAAAGCTGCTCACTTCATGGTAAAAAACCTTAAGAGAGCAAGAAAGGGAAAGAGATCCCTCAAGGGTATGTACCCAGTGAACCGAAGATCTCCCACTCGGTCCCACCACTTAAATCTTCCTCCACCTCCCAGTAGCATCAACATGGGTTTTGGGGGCTCATTTAATATCCACACTGTTGCACTTGGCACATATGAGTTGTAACTTCAAGTTCTTTGAGCTCCCTGCTCCCCCAACATCCTTGTACCTTTTGTGTATTCATAAGTCTTTGCTTAGAGCACCTTCTTTCTTCAGCCTGCCTGGCAAACACAGCTTTTGTAACACAGCTTTTGTAAGTTTTTTTTCAGTATTATTATACACATAACAGGGTTAAGTTGAGCCCATGACATTCTCCAATTTTGTGACTGGGAGCAAATTACCTGACACCTGGAACCTTCATTTTCCACATCTGTACAATGAGAATAAAATTGGTCTCGTTTCTTGTGGGCATTTGCTACCTTTGTTGGTTAGAATTTACCTTCCTTTAGTAACAATGCTCTGATTTGTTTGGGGATCCAGCCCTTCTCCACCTCTGTTCATGTACTTCTGGTGAGATTGAGGGCCCTAGAATGTGTGCCTGAGCTCAGCCACTCTGCATTCTCCCTCCAGCCATTGTCACTCACCCACAAATAGCATATAGGTAAAGAGACTTGGTTGTTAGGCTCTTGTTCTGAACGCTCAGGGAAGCAGACTCATTTCTATTGGAATTGACTGGGGAAGAGAAGGCCCCCAAAATTGCAGCCATCCTATAACCATGAGGGAAGAGCTTGGAAAACAGGATCAATACTTGATAATTCTTCTGAAGCTAGGAAACAGAGAATCCAGGCTCTCTTCATGTCACATGAACCCTGGTTCAGGTCACACCTGAAGCTAATTCATCTCCTTACCACATACTGTATCAGCTAACATTCCAGTTTTTTATTTTAGCAAGTTTGGTTAGATTTTTCTATCATTAATTAGAAAAATTCTTAACTGGAACAGAAGCGTTGTGAAGATTACAGGTTAAAAGCAAAATAGTGTATATATCATTAGCAAAGAACCAATATTATTTTTACTTTACAGTAAAATGTTTTGGACGTTCTCTCCTCATTGTGATAACAAAGTGTAGGGCACTGATAGACTCAGGGAACATCCTCTTAGTTTTGTGAAGAGGATTCTTTCATAAAGCTCTTTGAATCTTCTTTGGTCTGGTATCTGTCAAGAAGGAGAGGTGATTCTGAATATTAAATGGTCCAGCCTTATTTTTTTATGGCATATTTTCTTTTAAATTAATTTTGAATTTGTTTTACTAATATTTTAAACTTTTTATTAGTACATATTTGTCATGCATATTGGTCACATTCATTGTAGGGAATTTGTACCTATTCATGATATACCTTGAGTCTTTTTTTTTCTCATTCCCCTCTTCTCCCTTCAACGCTTTTTCCCCTCCCCATTTACAAAAGCTGTGTTTCCATTATTTCTTGTACTCTTTTTTATCCTTTTCCCTTCCTTTCCTCCTCCCTTCTTCCTATTTGAACATGTTCTTCCTACTTCCCAATATTTATCCTCCATTTCTATTTCTATGCTCCTTATTTACCCTTTGGGTTTCTCATGCAAGAGAAACAATACAATATTTAAACATGTGTATGATTTATTTCACTTAAGATTATGGTCTCGAGGGACATCCATTTTCCTACAAATGACTCAATTTTATTTTTTATGGTAGAGTAGTACTCCACTGTACATAAATGCCAAATTTTCTTTATCCATTCATCTATTGGGAATATAGGCTGTTTCCAAGATTTACCTATAGTAAATTGTGCTGCTATAAACATGAATGTGGATATATTCTGTGGTTTGATGCTTTTAACTCTTTTGGGAAGATACCTAGGAGGGGAAGAGCTGGGTCAAATGGAATCTGTAGTTTCAGTTTTTTTGTGGAATCTCCATACTGCTTTCCATAGTGATTGTTACCAGTCTATGTTGAACCATCCCTGCATCTTTGGGATGAATCTTACTTGGTTGTGGTATATAATCTTTGGGATGATTTGCTGCATTGTTTCCCAGGATCTTATTGAGGATTTTTGTATCTATGTTCATTAAGGAGATTGGCCTGTAGCTATCTTTTTTGGTTAGATCCTTCTCTGGTTTTGGTATCAGGGTAATGATTGCTTCCAGGAATGAGTTTGAGAATATTGCTTCCCTTTCAATGTCATTAAAGAGTTTGAGGAGTACCAGCATTAGGTCCTCTCTAAATTTCTTGTAGAATTCAGCAGTGAATCCATCAGGACCTGGGGTTTTCTTGTTGGTAGTTTTATTTATTAATTTCATTGATTTATTTATTAATAAATAATTTAATTTATTAATTTCTTCAATTTCATTGACTGATATTGGGTTATTTAGAATTTTTATATCTTCTTGATTCAGCTTTGGCAATTCATATGTATCTAGGAATCTATTTCTGAGTTTTCCATCTTATTAGAGTACAGGTTCTAGAAGTAGGTATTGATGATCTTATGGATTTCTGCAGAATCCATTATGATTTCACCCTTTTCATTCCTAATTGCACAGATTTGAGTCTTTCTTGTTTTTGAT